CTCGGCCGCGCACAGGTGCCGCGCCAGCTCGACGTTGGCGGCCAGCGCCGACGCCAGCGCCGACCGCCGCGCCGCGAGGGACGCGTGCGCCGCCCCGGGGCCGTGCGTCAGGGCGGAGAGGAGGGCTGGGGTGGAGAGTATGTCGGCCAGGTCTTGCTTTCTGTTCCTTCGGGGGAGGGTTGGTTAGATGCGGAAAAGCGTGGGGGGATAAGGGGAACACATGACTAGAGAAAAAAAGAAGAAAAAAAAAAACAAAAAAAAAAACGCACGACCTGTCCTCGAGCATCTTAGGCAGCCACTGGTCGCCCGGGTCCTCTGGGATCTGCTCCGGCTGCTGCGCGCCCGACGCGGCCTCGGGCAGGCCGCCGCCCTGCTGGTCCGGGAACGGCGGCGGGCGCGGCGACTGCGACGACGCGGCCGGCGTGCCCATGCGGCTGGCCTCGTGGCTGCCCGGCTTGGGCGGGAGCACCGGCGGCGCCGAGTACATGGTGGGCTTGCTGACTGGCTGGTTGGCTTGCAGTTTGGTAGGTAGGGTTGGTGGTGGCCCGTCGGTGCAAGCGGTCGGGATTAGTTGTTGGTTGGGTCGGGTTTGCGGTCGTCGCGCAGGTGGACAGGGCGGAGCGGAGCGGGCGGGCGGGCATTCGTCATAGGTCACACCTAGGCAGCCAAAACGCCCCGCCCCTCATGCTGCCGCTATCTTATCAATGACAGACGCACCAGGCAGCTCAACCACACGGCATTCAACCACCACTCGGAGCAGAGATGTTTACTGGACTGTCCAGGCGAGATGCGACTATATAATCTGGGTATAAACTTGGTGGTGTTTGCCGCAATAACTCTTTTTTACCCTTGCTCAAAAAACAAGCTAACAGCTAAAACCAGCGAGTTCCACTGCGGCGTCACTTTTTTTTACCATCACAGCTCTCGAACCGGTGCCATGCGCTTTGCCCAAATGTGAGAACACATGATACGCCTGCGAGATGAATGTGCAGTCATGTCTTCTTTTCAAACTCTCCCGATGGCTCTCCTTGTTGTGCGTTTGGACTGTTGAACGCAAAGCCCGAGCTGCCGTCCATCGTTGACCCGCCAGGGATCGGCGCCACGCTACCGATGAACTGGAAGTTGTCCGGCGCGAAGCTTGCCGAATGTGCATAGCTCTCAAAGGCGTCCTACAACCAAGACGTGTTAGTGCTGCTCGGTCCAGACCCCTTCACTTTTTAACCCGCCACAGCATGGCATTTCACCTACCCAGTCAAAGCCGCCCGTGGTAGTAAAGTCCATGGGGTTCCCCGTGTTCATCAAGGAGGCGAATGGAGACGCCGCGTTGTTGATTCCCGTAAACATGTCCATGTTGAAATCGGGAGACATGGCCGCCTGTGCCTGCCCAGAGGCCTCGCCACCCATACCCATCGCCGAAGGAGCCGCGTATGTTGCGCCCCCTGGACTCTGTATCGAGTCTAGCATGGCCGCCGTGTTTGGCGACAGACCACCGCCCGAGAGCATACCAAGTGTCATGGCTGCCGAGTGCTCAGGCTTCAGCTCCGAACTGGAGGGTGCGCCAAAAAATCCAAAGCCGTCCTGTCTCGGAGGCGCCGCCGCCGTGCCGCTTGGGTCCGGCCCAGGGCTTCTGATCTTCTCGAGCAGGATTCGGAGGACCTGGGACGCCTTCCATGCGTCCACCGATGTGTCTTTCATCCCGTCCCAAATCCCGCGCGTTACCTCGAGCGCCTTCACCATCTGGATTCGCTGCTGGGGGGTCCAGAAGAACAGTCCCTGCGAATCATGGCGCTGGCCCGACTTCTCTTCCATGTTGTCGTAGTGGAGGTCGAACCCGACAAGCATGGCCGGCGTAAGAAACTCCTTGGTGGCGACCGAATTGAAGAACCACTGCATCGACCGGAGCCGCCCGTTCCCCTGTGACTCTCTGTGCATCGCCTCCAGGTGCCGCAGCGTCTCCATTGACGCCTCGATGGCCGTGCGCCGTGAGTGGGCATACCGCGGGTTTTTCCTCGACCGGGGCAAATAGTTGCGGTGCAGCAGACAAAATATCTTCTGCACGAGAATGTCAATGTTGAGCCGCGCGATGATCAGCGTGAGCGGATCGTGCGAACCCTCGAGGGGCTGCAGCTTCAGATGCGGAGGCAGCTCGGCAACAACCTCCCGCAGCCTGGCATCCAGGCGAAGGATCTCATCGTAAGGCACCTGCGCACCGATCCTGGTCGTTGCCTGGATGATGCGGCCCAGCTCTAGCCCTAACCGCACCTTGGCGATCATGTATGCCATCGGCGTCGGTTCCGTCCGCGGGCGCGACGGCGGCAGGACTTTGGTGTCGGGCCCGAATTCCTCGTCAAAGATGTTGCTGGGGAGCTGCGTGTCGCAATCCTCGTCGTGTATCATTGCTGGGAGAGAGACCTGGAGAGAAAACATGATGTCACACATCCTGATCAGGGCCCACGTGCGCCGTCTCATTTCCTGAAAGACAAACGAATGTTAGCGTATCGGCCAACCCATCTCGGCACCACAGGAAGCACATGTTGACAGGGTCACCACTCACAGCCTGAAACGGCGTTATGGACGGGAACCATTTGGCGTCTCGGTGATATCCCATCCTGAAGGCCACTCTCGTGGTCAGGGCGCTTATCATCCACAGACCCACGTCGGCATCGTATCGGGACGAGTATTCGCCGAATTTGTACAATATCAACGTCTCAACCGTGTATTCGCCTGGTTTGGTGTAGTCCCCCGTGACAAGGCACTGCACTGTCCTCAGCCGGTACTCTGCCGCCAGCTCGAGCGAGCGGCCTTTCCACTCGGCCGGCTCGTCGCCAACCTTGTGGTAGCTGAGCATGGCCAGGCACAGAATGGAATAGAGCATGCCTAGCCACATGATGGGTGTCTGTGATGGGTCTTCCCAGTGTTTCTGGAGCGTCTGGTGGAACGTGGGCGCGTGTACAATGTTGACGGCGTTGTCCATCGAGTTGAAATACCGCCCACAAAGCGTGAGCACGCTCGACTTGGACGGCAGCTCTGCCCGCAGCTCGACCTCAGGGGCAGGTGCTGCCCCCAGTAGGAGTGTGAGCCCTTGGAGAGCCGACGGCGGTTTACTCTGGCGCACCCGCGCGTAGCTATTTTCAAGGTCTTTTTTGTGGTTGATGAAGTACGTCTTGACCTCCGAAATGCCAGACAGGATGCTGTGCCAGTGTTCCTGACCAATGTATATCGACTTGCCCTTCTCCGGATCCACCTTCAGGAACCCGAGCGACGTGGAGAGCCCGTTCTCAATATCACTGTCGTCGTCTCCGTCGTCTCTAGTGCCGTCGAGATGGCCATGCGTTTCGTTTCGCGCCGAGGATGTCCCGTCGGTCGTCGTCGTCGTCGTCGTCGGCGTCGCGCCGGTGTGCGTGGCCGAGGCGCTCGAGGAAGCCGTCGTGGCGGCCGCCGCCCCCAACCCTTCCAAGTTGGCGCCTCCGTGCATGAGTGCTAATACTAGGCCTTCTAAACGGTCAATACGGTTCTGCATGTCATCCGGGCTCGTTGCGCCTTGACTTTGGTTCTTTTTACGTGTCGCAGGTGATGCGTACGAGCAGCTGCTCGTATCCGCACCCTCACGCTTGACGCAGTTGCTGCATGGGTGACTCCTGTCACATTTCCTAAACCCAGGTAACGTGTGTAAGCGGCATAACCTTTGCCTCGGTGCCGATGCCGAGATTTTGGTGTGTGCGTAGATCTTGATGTGCGCGCGTGCTTACAGCCTAGGTGGTCAGGGCACAGAAAAGTTAGCGTTTTCAGATTCTGGGCTGAGTACTAAACACATATGAATCGTGGTAGTCTCCCGCACGTGGCGTGTGAGAGGGGTATAGCAGCCGAGCGGGCTCAGGGGAACGGTGACAGAACAAGATGAACCAGCCCCGCGGAAGCCTGAGCCGTAAACCGCGCCAGGTGGTGGTGGAGGGGACCGTGAGGAGGGGTACATCGTAAAAACCGACTTTCTGGTTCTGCATGGATAGCAGCTAAGAGGGACGCGGTTCCTCTTCCGGACCACTCGGAACTGCTCCTCAGGGGAGTGTCCTCCCGAGGAGGGCGTCGTCGACGGAGGCGTGGGGGTCATTGTGTGACGGCTATGGGAGCACAAAGTCCGAGGCGGGAGGGAAACGTTGTCGAAGGGAGACCTCAAGGTTGAGTAATCGTTCCGGAGTTACGAGAAAGCGGCAGAGCGGTTCTGGGGACCGGGCTGGCCTGTGCCTCGTTCTCATATAAGGCCGAAGAATCCGCCACGTTTCCGCCCGTGGGCACACCAGGTCCCTGAGTGGCTGGGTACCAGTCTCTTGGCCAGTGGTAGTAAGAATGCGGGCCAGGGTCACACACGCAGACAGAGATCCGCCTCTTCAAGCTGCGCGCCCTCCTGGCGTGGCTTTAAGCCGACGGCGCGGAGATAGACCCAAGCTGCAGATGGCAAAGCAGCCAGAGGTAAGGTAAAAAGGCGTACCCGCTGTTGTGGGGTAGCCGGGGGCGGATGTCGCTGGATTGCTTGCCCTGATGCTTCTCGGAAGACGTAAGAAGTGAGCCTCACCCACCCCTATCTGACCCCAGACTGTGGACGAATCCAGATCTGCTCCTCCCTGTTTGTCGGTCGCCACCAGTAAGCCTGAAGCTGCTGAGGCGACACACCCACGACAAAGTTCTAACCGACACAGCACAAGCAGCCTTCTCGTTGGACGGCAACGGCCGCGCCGACTGCCACACGAGCCAGTGTGGATCGTCTTCCCGGCAATGAGGTATCCCCACCTAGCCCCTCCAGGCAGCGATGATGGGGATCGCAGCTCAAGGTACGGCTTGGGACCGAACGGGATGACAGCCTGCATACGCGACTGAACGGACAGTGCGGCGCAACAGGAGCAGTGTCTGCCAAGAGCCTCGCGCGCGCTTCCTGTGACCCTCCTTCAGCTCTCTCCAACCTCCACCACAGGCGCAGTGGCAAACGTGTTGCTCAACAAGCTGGTGGTAGCGCGATGCGCGCGGGATATGGATAGTCGGGGTGGTGTGCTATGCAGCTGAGGAATGCTTAGCTACCACAAAGAGATTGGGAGAGAAGTACGATGCCTGTACGCACCCAGGTCGTCCATGTTAGCTCCTACCTACCCCAAGCCGCGCTGGAGGGGAGGAAGGGAGGAACGTGAAAAGAGAAGGTGCGTCCTCGCGGCGGACCGGCAGCAGGGGATGGACGGCGCAACCCACCAGGATCCCGGAGGCACCGTCGCGGGAGAGACAGGCCAGTCGCGGATTGGACTCACGTATGTGGTAGCAATTCGCGCGCGGTCGCTCAGGAAAGCAGGCGCGCGCGCAAGAAAACGAGGCTGACAGCGAGTAGATCCTGCGGCCCGGGACGTTGGAAATCGAAAGCGGCGACGCCGTCAACCCCACGAGAGAGCGGCAGGGTGGGGCCCCTTGTTTGTCAGGATATTTGTTTTTCAGGACAAGGTCGAGGGCGACCCAGCTCGGCTGGAAGCTGTCTCGGGGCTACGCGACGGATCAAGGGAGGCGGAGGAGAGGAGAAGAAAATAGAGGTTTGGATTCCTAAGAATCGGCAAGCATCGCGTGAAGTTGGCGGCCTGTTTTTTTTGGGAGAGTGTGTCAGACGGCAGCTCCAAGAACATGACATACGTCGGTCCATAATGCCACCCCCCCAAGGTGTCTGGCACAGGGCCTGCGTCGGTTTTAGCGGGATTAACAGCCTGCGATAGAAGAGCCGTGAACCCCTGGTCCTAACACGGCGGGGTCACACCATGGAGCACTGAGGCTTAGCGGGAAGGCTAGCCGTGATCTGCCCCAGGCTGCCAATCTGGATTTCGTCATCGCTGGAATACTATCATTCATGACTGCGCTGCACTCCCTCTGCAAGCGCATCTATTAAATATTCTTCAACTAATACCTGACCGCACACCCGAATCAGCGAACAGTCGGCTTTGGATTCCCTGACTCCTCCTATCGGCTCCTGCTGCTGCGACCATGTGCGTCATGCAGCAACCGGCAGGCCTACGAAATTCGGCGACGTCCGACACATGCCATCCCTTTGAGCAGAGGAATCCTTGTTTGTCAAGAGATGGATGACCTATCCAAACCACACCAAAAAACCTGCAGTACCATCGTGAGGTATGCATGGTGTACCCTTGGCCTGCAGGCTCAGGTTTCCAAAATATCACCTACCCATCCACCAACTGAGGATCCCATTGATCGTTCCTAGTTCTCGTGCTCGGCCTACCTCGACCGTCTTTGATGCTGATTAATCGTCAGCGCTTCCGGTGACTCACCCTTCAACACCAATGTCACCTTGCGCATTGTGGGGAGCGGTTGATGCGAAATACCGGCGACCACATCCCAGGTGATTGCTCAACAACTGTCGCAGGCATAGCCATCCCTTCTCTTGTGCAATCGACAATCGTATTATGTATTTGGCTCTTGCACTACTCGTCGTGATCTAGGTGCTTGGGCTTGGGTCGACTTATAAATCACATCGCGGCTTCCCAATTCACTCCTCATATCAACAGTGCACCCAACACCTTGCATTCAGCTTCATCTTTGATCCCATCTCAAGATTGATAGGTTTCCATGTACTCCTAATGAGCCATGTCTGATGATTGTTTCCAGTAGATGTAACCCTTGCCGGTGTCCGGTATCGTCTCGATCTTCTTCTTTCATTCCGCATACCAAGCCTGCTCGACGCTGCTACTTGGTTGGTATCTTACGTCCGCGTCTAAGTCTAGCCTTACTTCCGCGCAGCGCAGCTGCCCAACATGCCTCAAATCACAAACGTTGCGATCGAGTGACTATGAGCCATATCGTGGGCCCCTTTGATTCACAATCAAAGTCATCAAATAGCGCTTGAAATCCTCCGTCTCCATTCTGCTTTCCCGTGACAAGCACATACCGGGTGTGTGCCATCAACGACGTTGGGTAGCCTTAGATTCTCTTCTGTGGCTCCTGGGCCCGACGAACCTTGGGAAAGCCCTTGAATTATGCCCCAGCAAACTGTCCGAATGATGGGACAGGGAGAAAGAGAGGTGGCATCGGCCACGTGAGCTCTCTCTCCAAGACAACCTCCCCAAGAAAGCTGTTTCTTTGTTGAGGGTTTGAGTGATTATGGTGAACACTATGGCTCGGAGACAGTGGGATCGGCACCAGCCTTAGCGCTATAGGCCTTGAAGAAATCGGCGTCGTTTGCCATCTCCTCTTTAACCTGCAGCCCCAGAGTTATTGTCAGGTTAGCATCTTCTGCCACACCAAGACGTTATGCGAGGTTGAGTTGAATGCAAGTGTCGGTTGATGTCGCCTTACAATGTCCAAGCCTCCGACCAGCTCGCCGTCGACCCATAGTTGTGGGAAGGTAGGCCAGTCGGCGAATTCCTTCAAGCCTTGCCTAACCTCGTCGTCGGCTAGGATATTGAAAAACCCGTACTTGACCGAGTTCTCTCTCAGTATGGCGACTATCTGCCTCGAGAAGCCGCACTGCGGTGAGCTCGGCGTGCCCTTCATGAAGAGCATCACCGGCGCCGCCTTGACCAGATCGCCAAGTCGCTTGAACAGTTCCTCCTTCTGCTTCGCCGGATCTTGGGGTGCGCCGGTCGTAGCGGTAGCATCGCCGTTCGTGGGGGCGACCGTCGTGGCCTCGGCCGTGGCGCCGGTGGGGGAGGAGGATGCGCTGCCGGCGTTCGCCTCAATGGCGGTGCGGACTCGCTGGGCACTGTTGCCGCTGACGGACTCGAGCACCTTTCCGCCGCGCGACAGCACGACGAAGGGGACGGCGGTTACGTCGTAGGTCTCGCTGACATCGCTGAGGTCTTCGGCGTCGAGCGCGACCCACGACGTCGCGGGCGGGTCTGCCACGGGATACTCGGCAGCGAGGGTCTTGAGGACCGTGGCCATCTGGGCGCAGGGCGGCGCCCATGGGGCGTGGAAGTAAATAACCAGGAGGGTCGTAGGCGGCAGGGCGGCCAGGTGCGCCTCCCACTCAGGCACGCTTGTGATGTCTTTGATGGTAGACATGGCTGTATCGTCGTCGCTGCTCGGCGTAGGTGCACGGGTTGAGAGAGGAAAAGGAAGAAGAAGAAAAAAGAAGAAGAAACAAGCCAGCGTCTCGTGAGTCGTGCGCGCCGTCACTCTTGGGCTGCCAGGTGCGCATCAAGTTTTGTTTCGATATCGGCCAAGCTGGCTGCCCCGCCAGGCCTTTCAATCAGGAAGCCCCTCATTGGAGCAGCTCATCCATCCCGTCATTGGAGCGCGCAGTGTACTAATTGCGCCATTTTGTGATTGCACCCGCCCCAGACACGGGCAAGTCACACCTCAAATTTCTGATACCGGTCTGTCGGTATACTGTGCGGCGAAATATGGAAGCCATGTAACCAACTTGAAACCTCCTGGCTGTTGGGCATGCAAGATATCCAACCTACGTTGTCGGCGGGCGGCCTGGTCTGCGCTGTGCTGCGATTTCGAGACAGGCGCCATCGTCCGGGGTTGATACAATCAAGTCAAAATGCTCACATGGTAGCTGTCTCTCAAATGTCATGGTAGTTTGCGCCTCGATTTGTGGTCTGCCAGCGGGCAATCGGCCGGCTTCGGCAGTGAGTTCAATCCCACCCAGATGGCAAATCGGTAAATTCAATGCCATCCTGGTGGGAAGGGCCCAAATGGGAAGGAGGAAGAGCCCCAATGGCTGTGCACCGCACAACGCGCCGAGCCACAGTGGTTGCGACGCGAAGAAAGAGGGTCCAGACAGTCGGCCCAGAAAATCGGCCGAGTCTAGAAACGTGGGCCGCCCCCTTGAGTGGCGCCCTCCCGGGCTTCGTCCGCGCGTTGCTCATTTTAGGGGCCGCGTTGGCAGCACAGCGCGTGCATAGCACAGCCCAGCCCCGTCCTCGTTGGGAATAGGAGGCACATGTGTAATCCCGGGGGCGCCGAGTAGAGCTGCAGGTACGCCAGGCCGCCTTTGCTTGCCTCTAGACCGCATTCGCGGCATGCCCACTGGCAATTTGGGCTCAGCGCCACTGCCCAAACCGAACTTTCTCTGATCCCGTAGTCTGTAGTGCATGTCTCCACCTCACTGGTTGGGGGTTTGGTGTTGCTGACCTGAATTCCAGATATTACGACCGCAAATTTCTCAAACACTCTCGCCTTCCATCTTCACCTCCTCCCCCTTTTCCTCTTTCTTCATCCATAATCACTTCTCTCCTTTCCTCCCCCACGCCAGCCGAGTCGCGACGCACCACATCCAGTCCGCAGAAATCCTACACATCGAGCGCGACAATCTGCTTTCCGGCTTCAGAGAACCCGAGACCCATACCAAATACAACAGTCAAAAACAACAACACAGCAACCAGTAATAATAATGTCGGCCCAGCAATTCTACCAGAACGGCCCTCCGCCGCCGCAGGGCTACGGCAGCCCGCCGCCTCCTCAGGGCTACCCTTCGTACCCCCAGCAGGTATGTGATGCGACGCGATGTGCTCTGCAATTTGTCGCAATTGATTTTTCCTTCTTTCCTGTCGCGTCTCTTCGCGCCAGCCCTTGAAATCAGAAACCCGACAGTTATCGCTAACGTCTGAATTCACATTCCGTAGTCTTACGGAACGCCGCCGCCGCCCCAGGGTGGCTACTACCCTCCCCAGCAGCCGCCGATGCAGTACCCTCCCCAGCAACAGGCACCTCCTCCGCAGAAGGATGGCGGCGCCAAGAAGGGTTTCCTGGGCGGTATTCTTGCCTGCTGTGCATGCTGCGTCTGCTGCGACTGTATAGGAGACTGCTGCGAGTGCTGTCTCGAGTGCTGCTAAAGGAGCTTCCCAAGGCCGGACGCCAGCGACGGTTCAAACCCAGCAATCGACCAGCGCCCACACAAGCTCTTGGGCATCACCGCCAACGCGTCATGCCGAATTTGGCGCCCCGAGGCAGCGGCAAGGGTAGTTCCGCACCTGGACGGCGAAAAGGCGGTGGCTTTGCGTGGGCGGTCAGACACAGGATTAAGTCGTAGACGCACGAACTTAGTTTGATTGGGGTCCTAGCTTATACCCTCACTTCACTTGTCGTCTGTTGCTCTAGATGGGAGCTGGGCCAGCGTCAAGTCTCGCTGGCTGGGAAAATTGAACTGAAAAAAAGAGAGAAAAACTGCCTGCCGGATCCTGTATATCTTCTTTTTTCACCCTGCGCTTTACTGAAGCGCGCGAGCTCAACACCTCCCTCCGTGGGCTACCTATTTCCTACTCCTGCTATTTTTCTGAGGAAAGCTATATTAATTTGATTTCTTCTGTTTGTCCTTCTCCTTTTCCTGCCTTGTCACTTGCTTCCTCACCTCACGCTCTTTCCGCCCACCCTGGTCATCTCTCGGGGTTCGATGTACGGCGCAGTGATCCGCGTCTGCCATTTGACCTGTGGCTTCCTTCAAGCCTCGTACGCTCTCTCACCGTAGGGACATTTGAATCTCTCAATGCTTCTTTGCCTCCTGTGTTAATTCCTACACACAAAAATCTACCCTGAGACTGCTGCTGTAGCCAAATGGTCGAATCAATGCCCAGTTTCTCGGGTCCCTGTCCACGTAATAGTGATAGCTCCCTTCAGTCTTGCTCTTGGGAACTCTACCTAGAGGCCAATCCGTGAGGTTGATTCGGACGAATCAAGAAAATATGTGGTGCTCGACGTCCATTGTTGCGCGACATGGGTGACACCCAGCTCGGTGGAGTTGGCGGCGCGGGTGCCTGGCTTGCTAGCGCCTGGGGAGTCCAACTTCCAAGCCCCCCGAATTACGTATTGGGGCTGCTTACCCCTGCCCCGCTTGTGGAATCGGGTGCCACAGCTCATCCAGCTCGCCAACCAACGTGGCCAGCTCAGGCTCCAACTTGGACTAGAACTGGTGCATCTTTTGTTTGTGCTTCTTCTCGCACAATCTTCTCCCCGTTCACCTCCTCGTCCTCCGCGCTCGATAGACTCGGGGACGCGACGCAAAGGTCCATCGTTTCTTCTGCCAGAGGCAGCTCCCTCCTTTCTCCATCACGAATACAGCCAGCGCGAATAGCCCGGGCAGCAGCCAGGCCCCACCACCCACAATGTCGTCATTAAATCTCTCCGTCAATGGGCCCTCGATTAAAAGCAGCTACAGCGGCGTCGTCAATGGGCCCGCGCCGTCCTCAAGCTCGCCGACACACGCCCAATGGGCTCTCTTTTCGGTGCAGGCGCCGCTCGTGAACGCTTTCCAGGACAACGGCTCCAAGGAGAGTGTGCTCAAGGTTGAAGGCACCGGCGGTGAGTGGCCCATGTGGTGCCTCGTTGGGGGTTGGTTCGCTTGCGTAGGACACTGCTGACAGCTGCCTCATCTGGCCCTACCACACAGATGGAGAGATCGAGGATCTCATCGAGGACTTCAACGAGGGCCGCATCCAGTTTGCCTTTGTCAAGGTCAAGGACCCCAACTCGGGGCTGCCCAAGAACGTCCTGATAGCATGGTGCGGCGGCGGCGTTCCTGAGCGGACCAAGGGTTATTTCACCAGCCATCTGGCCGCTGTTTCAAAGCTCCTGCACGGATACCACGTCCAGATAACCGCCCGCTCCGACGCCGACCTGGCTCCCGATTCCATCATGAAGAAGGTGGCCGACGCCTCTGGCGCCAAGTACAGCGCCGGCAGCTCCGCCCCGGCCCCCTCTGCTGCCCCACCTGTCGCCAAGAAGCCCGTCTTCACCCCCACGGCCTCCGGTGGCTCCGGAGCTTTCAACCCTCTCGTCGCTGCCCGCCAGAGGAGGGATGATAATGTAGACGCGGACGGATGGGGTGCCGATGCGCCCCCAGTCAGCCGGTCCGAGATTCAGAAGGTCGAGTCTGCCTACAAGCCTACCAAGGTCAACATGGCGGAACTCGTGCAGCAGAAGCAAGAACCGTCTCGCTTCAATGGCGGTGGCGCCGCCGCCCAAGAAGATCGCCCCGACGTGGTCAGGGGTGCCTACCAGCCAATCGGGAAGGTCGACATTGGGGCCATCAGAGCCGCAGCCAAGAATCAGCATGACGACCGACCCGCAACGGTGAAAGGAGCCTATGAGCCCGTTGGTAAGGTGGATATCGCAGCCATCCGCGCCAGGGCTCAGAAACCCGCTGCGGAAGATGCGGATGAGAAGCCCAAGAACCTCTCCGAGCGCACCGCCGCCTTCACCGCCGCCCCCCAGTCCGAGAGATTGGTATCCCTGCCTAAGCCCAAAGTTGCCAACAAGTTTGCTGGTGCCTCCTCCTTTACGGGCACAAAGGCCCCCATGCCTGGCTCGCTCGGGCTAGCCTCCCCAGCCACTCCTGCATCGCCCCCGGTCGGTGCTGCCAGTCGTACGTTTGCCGACCAAGGCGGCAAGACCCCGGCTCAGCTATGGGCCGAGAAGAAGGCGAAGCAAGGAATCATTAGCCCCAACGCAACCGGTGCCACACCTGCTGCCTCTTCCATTGCCGCTCAGAAGAGCGGCGGCGGCGAGGGGTGGAAGAGCGGATACCAGGGCAAGAGCTGGGGTACAGTGCAAACCACCAACTTTGGACGCGGAAATGCTGCTGTCGTTGAGCAGAAGACTGGCGAAGACAACCAGCAACAGCGCGAGCTAGAGCAAGAGCCGTCTCAGTCCGGCGGCGGTATCTCGGCGCTTCGGGATCGATTCAAGGAGGCGCCTGTTATGGAAGCTGCTGCCCCTGCTGTGCCGAAGGTCCCGACTGGTGGGAACCGAAGCCTGAATGATGAGCCTGCACCGCCGCCGCCGAACATGTCAACTCGTCCGTCTGTCCCATCTGGCGGGTTTGCTCTCCCGGGACTTCCAACCCGTCCGCCGGCGGCCGAGCAACAGGAGGAGGAGGACGTGGCGGAGGAGCAACAACCTCCACCCAGGTCCCCCTCCCCGCCGCGTGTTGCCATTCCTGTTCCCCGTGTACCGGAGCCCGAGATCGAGCGGCCCGCCCCGGAACCGGCTATCCCAGTTCGCGAGATTGAGCGCTCCCTGCCCAAGGAGGAGGAGCTTCAGGACGACCGCGTTGACCACGCGAGGGCGGCGGCCACGGCGGTTGCGGAAGAGCAGTTTAGTCATGAGCAGCTTGCTGCAGGGCAAGCGGCGCCCGGAGGCGGCAAGCGTGCCCTTATCCAATACGACTACGAAAAGGCCGAGGACAACGAGCTCGAGCTCAGGGAGGGCGAGTACGTCACCAACATTGAGATGGTGGATGATGACTGGTGGATGGGCACCAACGCGAGGGGCGAGAGTGGTCTCTTTCCCAGTAACTACGTGGAGCTCCTCGAGGACCAGGAAGACGCCCCGCCGCCGGTTCCCGCAGCAGAGCCGGCCAGGGCAGTCGCGCAACAGGCTCCTACTCCTGTTCCAGCCGCCCAGGCCCCCGCTCCCGCGGCTGCGGCGGCAGGCCCAACGGCCACTGCTTTGTACGACTACGAAGCCGCGGAAGACAATGGTGCGTCCCCCCAATATCTGACCCCGGCACTATCCCACTATGCTTGATCTGTATTCTTGCTGACAGCAACTTTGGTTGGCATCAGAGCTTGGCTTCCCCGAAGGCGCGCAAATCACCGACTTGGAGTTCCCTGACGAAGATTGGTGGTTTGGCCACTTTAAGGGCAAGAGTGGTTTGTTCCCTGCCAACTATGTGGAGGTGAACAATTGAGATCCCGAAATAGGAGACGTTCAAAAGTGAGAATCGTAGGACTAGTGCTTCGCAAGCAAATGCAATAGGAGAGATGGATGGCCTGGAAAGGAAACGGTTTCAGACGAATGTTGCACACATGTCGAATAAACAAGCACGCTTTTTTTCTCGAGCGGTTCTGAAGCATTGGTGGCGCCATGTCTATTTATTCAGCTTGTCGACGTTGTTGCTTCGTCCATTTTCAATGTTGTTTGCGTCCAAAATCACCTTACGCGACTTTGCATGTCCCGAGTCAAAGCCTGTCGGGCTTGATGCATTGGGGTCAGATTGCCAGATTTCCTGACAGTCATTTCTGTTCATTTTGGTTCAGAACATGAATACAAGCCATGTAACTAGGTATCAACAAGAAGAGAAAATATACACAAGCAGATGTTGAGTACACTGGAGTCGCTGTGAAAGAAAATAGTCATGGTTTCATTAAGCCGAGCCGGTTGCGAGGCACCACGGCCATTTTAGCTAGTGTACTTGAGGCCGAAGGCGGTCATGGCGTCGGTCCAGTACTGCTCGCGTTTGGTCCACTCCCGCACGCTGGCCTCGTCGGTGCCCTTGGGGACGCCGACGCATGTGGTGACGTAGTTGAGCCAGCCCTGCTTGGTGCCGGCGACGAGGCCCTGGCGGATGTCGGCCGAGCACTCGGTGGCCAGGAACCAGGCGCCCGAGCGGAAGTTGTAGTCGTTGGCCTGCACCAGCTTGAGGACCTCGGACTTTTGCGCGTCGGTCGGCGTCTCGCTGCCGCCCGTGATCTCGCTCACCCGCGAGGCCAGCTCGGGGATGCTCTTGGCGAACTTGAGGTTGAACTGTGTTGTGGAGGATGAGCGTTAGTCTATGTTTTTTTTTTCTTGTCTCGAGAAACAGTGGTTCCAGGGAAACGACTCTACATACAGCACCGCTTTGCATGTTGGAGGTGCCCTTGCCCTTGTCGCTGGACGGGGAGGCGGGCTGCTTGTACTTAAGCGACGCGGACTCCATGGCAGTCAGGGAGACGACGGCGGCGATCTCCCAGTCTACAGAGAAGTTCGGATGTTAGTCAGCATGGATACGTGAGTTTGGGGGCCGGTGTCGGGACATGTGCAGGTTACTCACAGTCGTAGATCTTGTATGTGGACATGGCCTCGATGAAGTAGGGCGCCGCATCGGCGGCGGTCGTGCACTGTGGGAATTTGGCCAGGTCGCACGTCTTGGAATCCGGCATCGTGCCCTCGATGAGGTCGGCGGCCTTCGGGCCCGTGTATCCTGCCGGCGGCGTCGAGCCGTCGGCACGCGGCCACAGCGCTGCGGTCGGGGCGGCGGAGGCGAGCCCGGCCAAGACCGAGGCCGCGAGGATGGCGGATGCAATCATGATGAGATGGTGCCGAGGTCTGGTGGGTGTGGGTGGTGCTAGTTCTAGCTGAGGGTTTTCCGGACCTTATGGATTTCTAGGAAGCGAAGGTGTGAAATGAATGTTGTAGAGAAGAAGCAAGCCAAGGTGGCGAGAGCAAGCCGGAGAGCGAGGGGATCGTGGGAATAAATAGCTTTGTGTAATGGGTTGTTGGTTCTTTGAGTCCTTCTTTCACTGGACGTTGGCGTCTAGTCTTTGTCGAGGCCAACGAGTGCTTGGGGGCGGACGGGCAGATGAATGGGAGAAATTACTGGATATTATTGTTCCATGAAAGAAAGGTGATGTGGCCCGAGGACAGGACAGGCAGTGACGTGAATGGAACGATGGTATTCACAACATGTTGGGCGGGAGTCAAGCTGGGTTCTTGTACCTTGGCCCTGCCGTGGCCAGGCCTCCGCGCCAAAGCACCTCACATGCTGCCCCTGAATGGGATTGCTGGCGATCACCGCCGCCATGTACAGCCCGCCCGCCGCATGCGTGTCTAGCTTGGGGGTCCGGCCCAGGATCCGAACTGTTTGCCGCTGTCTGCTGGCGCAGCAGCAGCAGGCAGCGCGGGGCGCTTGTCCTTCTCTCTTAGCCGATGGATCTCTGTCATGCCCCTTTGTGGAAATCTTTGGGCGGGCGCCACCCTCCTGCGCGCGCGGTGGTTGGCTGGCGTTTGTCCGCGGGCTGTGTGCCCTCAACGCGAGGTTCGGCCTGTGGGGGTGGATGACAGGGTCCAGGGGCCACACCCCACCGCTTGGGCTGGTAGGCTGCTTTCGGGGAATCCGCCCGTTTGTTTATGTGAGTGAGGCTCAGCGTCCACCACAGCCAATGGATGCGCGGTTGGGGCTCTGTCCCGCCGTACCTTTCCCTCTCCCTGCATTCAGCCCTCCCCGCCACGAAACAACCGGCCCCCCTGGCCCCTCCCTCTCTGTTCAGTTGTGCTCGCTTGGGCTCCCCAGCCCAGCCCGGGAAGCTTGTTTGGGCTTGGCACGCAAGCGCCGAGGTTTGTTTGAGCTTCTTGGGCTGGCCACGCTCACTCGCGGGCTGATAGGCCACCGACGTTGGGGGGTCAGTTGGTGCTCACTTTTGCAGCGGTCCTTTATGATCCTTGGCCTGTTTCTTTCTTTATTGCGCTCCTTTGCTTTGCCTTCGCCCCGTCACCTGCTGCGCCTTCTTCGAGTCGTCCGTCTGGCTGCAGGCGAGCCGGATGCCAGCGTGCAGCTACACGTACCGCTATGACATGCCCGCCGAAAAAAATATCAACTAGGGAGTAGGTACTTGAGCATAAAGAGGAGTCCCATCAGGAGATCGTTTCTTCAAGGCAACAACTTACGACTTTCAACACACGATGCTTTGAGTAAAACCAAGACGTTTTTGCAGTTAGACTTGGTTTTTAGGGGGCATGTCTCCCGACAATTCCATACCAACTCAGTCCTGTCGGCTTTTGTGTTCCAACATTTGCGTGCATGAGAACAATATGAACCCCTTATTTGCACGCCCCAAGTTAGCCAGTACCAATTGCAGCCTCAAGTGTTCGCAGCGAAAAACACAACCAGACCGAGCCCCATTTTTTGGTCCAGTTCCATTCGCTCAGTGTTCATTATGTAATCGCTCCATGAGTCTCCACCCGGCGCGGTGTTCAAGCCCGGCACCGTAGCAGAGCAAAGAAATCAGACAAGAGGAAAAAGCTGTGTGGGTTCGTGCCAACCCATCCCGGCTTCTTCTTTTTTGGTGGTCTTCATTGCATCTCCCCTGCGCCGCTTCTGCCTCACTTTCGGCCCGTCGACAATATTTCGCCAAACGAGTCGTCGGCGTCTACTCTTTCACCCAAATCCCTCCCTGTTTTTTCCTGCCCTTTCATTTTTCTTCGTGTTGCTCAGGCATCTGCCTTGACTGCTAGCCGCGAGCGACGAGTGTTGCCGCCGCCTCCAACTGGCGTCTGATCCCAGCCCAATTTTCCATGTTTCCCTACCCCATATTCCCAATTGTTCGCCAGTAGGTAGACAGCTCTGGACTCGGCTGGCTCAATGGACACCTCGATGGATCCGTCCATGGACTTTTCCATGGACTCAACGGACCCTGCGGATGCCCCTTTCAGTCAGAAAGGATCACAGTCTGCTGCCCCAGTCCCGACTAGTCCGGCAGCACTGGACGACCATGGGTCGGACGTGAGCAGCTCCGATGACGAGAGCTCATCGGATGCTATGACGGATGACTCTGACCAGGATGGAAGCCACGACAACAACCACGACCGCAGTTCGTCTTCTCGACAAATTCGATCCGACCATGCCGCGACGGCGCCCAACCCACATGCAGCCCGTCACGACACCCGGGACGCCATCTCGAGAAAACGAAAAGCCCAGAGCGGCCAGCACCATGACGACACATCTGCCGCAGGAACACAGAAAGGAGAGGCTGGCGCTGGCTTGCAGCAGGCCAAAAAGGTGAAGCTCAATGGTGATGAGGGAGCTGTTGTCTCTGCCGACAGGAGTCACGTCCCACGCGACAGATCCCTTCTCCCTGCCGAGATTTGGCATTGCATATTCACTTTCTGCCCTCCCAAATCCCTTGGGAATCTCATGAGTGTCAACAAGTCGTTCCACTCATATCTCGACCCATCTCTTGGACCGTCCTCTGTCCCCGAGCGGCGGCCCGCCTGCTCGGGCGGCGCTGCCATCTTGAAGCCAAATGCCATCTGGCAGGCTTCAAGACGCCTCTACTGGCCTTGCATGCCGACTCCTCTCAAATCCAAGACTGAGCTGGACATGTGGAAGCTGGCGTGCTCCATCTCGTGTCAAGACTGTGGCAAACCGGGTAACCCAGCTAATGTGGTTTCCGGTGAGGCTTGTGCCAATGGCCCTGGCATGGATGGAGTCGCCATCGTGTGGTCTTTTTCAGCTTGTCTTTGTGGGCCATGTCTACTCGGCAAGTCCGTCAAGGTTTGTGTCTCGACCCGCTTCTTCCAGACCACACGCCGCCGTTATCTGACAATCCTCAACAGGAGATCGATCTTCTGCTGTCGTCATCTACACCTTCGATGTTGATGCCTGCAATCCCCTTTGTGCTCCTGACCGACAAGCTTCATGTGCTCACCTCGAGCTTGGCCGAGCGTGGTCAACTGCCCAAGGACACCCAACTCACGAAGGTGTTTTGGAGGCCTGGCGTCGAGAGTGTGAAGCAGGAGTTCCTGTCCGTCAAGGGGATGGGCGTCGCCACCACAGAGGAATGGCTCAAGGGGCTAGAAGTCCGTGGGACTGAACACCAGCAAGACTCGTCCAGATGGGAAAAGTACGCCATCTCGGGGGGTATCACCAGGATGAGGCGTGTGCTCTATCCTGGATATGATCCAAAGTCCCTCGCATCGGTGATCCCGACTTCGGCCAAAGCAACTCCGCCCTTGCTCTCCTGTGATGGCTCCAACGTGACAATACCACATGTTTCGGCTTCCAACTGTAAGTACCGCTTTCCACTGCATCCTTTGGCACTGAAAAACACACCCGTAGCTAATCTCCATTCGCCGGGACACAGTTGTGACCGGGGTACCCTCACTGCCGCCGCGCGCTCCTATGTCAGCTCGCCATGAACGCACCCGGGAAGAGGTCGCGGAGCTAAAGGCTACGCGAAAGGCCGAGATTGAACGAAAGGCCATGCTTCTTGACCCTCCAATGCGGCCAAGTCTTCTGCTTCATATGCCTTCGTTCCAGGCAGCCACGCAACTCATCACGCCGTTGGATGACAATGCCTGGGAGCTTCTGAAGCCGCGACTACTAGCTCAGAGACAAGATGCCGAGAAGCGTGAGAAAGAGGCTGCTTTGCAAGCTAGTCTCCAAGAGCAGATGGCGGAGCAGAACACGACTTCGGATGCCAGCAAGGAAAAGGAGCCTTCAGATCACGATTGGGACGAGATCCAAGGTCCCCTTCGTGGCCGTATCTCTCGCCATGCAGATGAGGTGATCCGCAAGAACTGGGACGATGGCGACAAGGTCACCAAGGACACATGTGCAGACTTCGCTGCCGACGTGCTCCTCTATGTCCGAAAGCACTTCTACGCGGACGTGGCAAGAGACGCAGATGTCGCCCGAGCCAGCGGCAAAGAGCCCATCGTGGATCCTCCCAAGGGACCTTTCACGCAAAAACTGACGCTGGAGAACATGAAGTGGATCTTTGATGTCAAGATTAAGCCTCATACCGAGTCTTTGCGGAAGGAGCTGTTTCTCTGCAGCGCATGTCAGGGAAATTTCAAGTACTACGGATTTGAGGGTGTTGTGCAGCATTACGCCGCCAAACACACGAGCGCGCTGAGTGCCGGAAACGTCGTCGTTCATTGGCGCGCCGAGTGGCCTGAAGCCTCACCATTTAGCCCCGATCCCCGGGCCGTCAAGCAAGCCTACCACCAGGCCCGACACGCTATCTATCGCCAAGAGAACGGCAATCCGCAATATCCGTACGGCTCGTACCCTGGTGCGCCGCCTCAGCCATATCTCCCGCAGCCACCGGCACCATACCAGGCCCCTCCTGTCCCTGCTCCATACGGGGCTTCTCAGCCATACCCTGAGCAATTCGGTGCCGTTCCACCACAGACATATCCACCTCCAGGTGGCTACCCGCAACCGCAGCCGGGCTATGGACAAGCTCCCTACCATGCCGCCCCGGCTCCTTACCAGCAGTTTCCACCACCTCCAGCTCCGGCCACTTCGTACCCGCCTTCGAGCTATGGGGCTCCCGTTCCAGGCCCTGTCACTCCCGCGGCTCAAGCAGGCCCGCCACCGCCTCCGTCTGGCGCATACGGCTACAATTATAGCTCTTTTCAGGGCAACGCCAGCTATGCCCACACTGGCGGCCAGGCTGCTCCGTTTCCTGACCGCTACCGCGCGCAGCTCGAGGAGATGGCAAAGCTTTCGCGGGAGCTGTGGAGCTCCACGGCAAACTTGAAGGATCTTCCTGGGAGTGCGCGGCTGCAGGTCATAATCTATCACATGGCGAAGCGCTTCTACGGCAAATTCTCGGAGCCGCCCCCACTCACCATGTTCATTGACGGGTTGTCCAACAACAAGGACATGCGTCCCGTTCGCAACGTCAACGGCCTGATGTGTAAGGCGTGTCACTCTGGCCTGGTCAACCCGCCCGCAACGGAACAGGATCGCAAGTCTTTTTCCATGCCGCAGCTCGCAAATCACTTTCAGAGCAGGCATGTTGAGCCGGCAGTGAACTTGGGACAGTACGTGCCCGTTCCCGACTGGGCCTCAGGCATGATTCTTGTCCCCGACTTCTCTAGCCAGTCGAGCTTCCGCAAGCCCGCTGCTGGGGGAGGCGATAGTCAAAAGTATCAACTTCTCAGCGAGGCACTTCCTCACTTCTTCCAGCCCGCGCCGCATCAGGGTGCACCCTCCCAAGCCCCCGACGACACACAGTGGCCACCAAAACCAGAGTACCCTACTCACTCACAGCTCCCCACGTCGGCCGACCACCATGAACGGTTCTACGGATCAGCCGGCCCGGGTACTGGGGCGACAGAAAATATGCAGTTACATGCGACAAATGGCCATGGTAATGGGCTCCCCAAAGCACAGAGTGGAGGGTACTATCCGCAACTTAGCCAACAGGAACAAAACGGCAAGAACAAAAAGAAGAAGCAAGGAGCGAAGGGGCAAAATGGCGCCAGTATGTCTCGCAAGGGACTCGACGACAGGGTCCCCCGTACACGGACCAACGAGCTCAGCGAGCGCGAGTTCAAAGACGATGAAGAGCAGGAGCGGCGACAAGAGGAGGAGATACGTGCCATGTGGGCTGCCGATCGTGCACAGACCGCTCGCCTGCCGTCGGTTCCTCCTGTGACACAACCCGGCAACGGCCCGGCTGGCGCTGTCCGAGTCTCGGGTAGACACATGGAGCCGATGACGGAGGCTCCACAGGCGAGAGTCGGACCTCCGCCAAGACAGATAAAAGAAGAGAGCCTGCCGTCAATGTCTCGAATTCAGGCGCCCCTAAAAACAGCTTACCAGCCACAGCCGCCCATCTACCACCCATCAGACCATCAACCACCTAACGCATCTGACCGTGAAGGCTCAGACCCACTGGCGGCCTTGGAGCTGTATCTCGATCAAGAACGCAACAGGACGTCTGCAGACTCGCGCCAACAGCCCACTCCGCGGCCAGGATATGGCGACGATCGCCATCGAGCCATGTCTCGAGATCCTCATGGGAGCCAGATACCGTCCCAGGACAATTACCGCCACCGGTACAGCACTGCTGGGGCCGAGGGGAGCCGCCGTCGATCACTATCGCCCGTCTATGTCAGATATGTCGACCAAGGCCCTCCAGCAGACAAATATCGCGAGCGGAGTCCACCACCGCCACTCCACGGTGAGCCACTATACCGCGCGCGACAGGCACCTGCGTTGGAAGAGGTCATTTACGGGAGGGCACCTCCTCGCGAGTACTATGAAATCCTCGGCGAAGAACCAAGGCCGCGGCAGGTTGAGTACGAAGCGTACGAGCTTGTGAAGGCTCGAGACTCTCAGGGCGAGTACTACATCAGGCGTCCGGTCCGGCGGCAACCGGAGATCGAAGGATATTACAATTCTTCTCATCAGGCCGGCCCCTACTCCGCTAGCGGGCCCGCTCGACGTGAAGTATCATATGCTCCATATGAACAAAGGGCCCGCTACCCGTCTCGACAGCCGCAGCCGTCTTATGATGGCCGAGAGCCGGTGACTTCTAGAGCCGCAGAGCCAGGCCCAATGTCACGAGCAGATGCAGCATACTACGAGGAGTATGACCCACACTACCCAGCAACGGCACACCCACCTCCGGGACCCATTGCGCGCCCGGAGAGGTATCGCTGAATACCGCATTCGGATGATTCCTGCTGGGGCAAGCTTTGTATTGTTACTCGCGATGACTAAAAATGGCCGGTACGGTCGGAGTCTGGCTTAGATAGCAAGGACGCCCTCGTCACATGATAAGGATGGAGGGGAATGACTGGAGCGATACTACGGTTGGGTCGTTTGGTTGATGAACGATAACTATCTAATCTAATATTTGGCTATGTTTGTACACCGTCCTCTTCAGCTGTGTGAACTGTTAGCATCTCATCCACATTGGAGGAAATATGGATATTTCTAGTGGTCGCGTCCTGTTGATCTCAGCCCCGGGCAGGGCTGAGAGTTATTATCTTATCATGGGCAGGGCAAGCGCTACTCGCAGCCAGCACAAAAAAAGATGGTAGTCTGATAGGTCCCAAGGTTGAGTAAAATCGTCACTGCCGTTGTGGGATTTCCTATATAGCTTTCCTATATGAAGGTTCCTATAAAACTTTCTAATTCCCATTCCTGAAAAGGAATTATCTACCGCATTGCCGATTTTAACGCTCGCAGCTTGCCACGACGAGCTGCGTGGTTCTTGTACTAGTGTTGCCAGGGTCAAAACGTGAAACCCAATATCGTCACATACACAGTCGCGAGAAAAGACGAGACAGTCAGATTACAGGCTCCGAAATAGGAGAAGAGCTGCACTTAATAAATACACAAAGCGCCTCCCGCCTAACCAAATAAAATCGCGGAAAGCACGACAGATCCCCGAGCGGTGCCGTAAAGCGACGTCTGTTCCCCTTTTGAGGTGTCCCGCCCAAAGTCGGGCACGCGCGAGCAGCGGGCAGACCGGATGACAGCCTTTCCCATCACTTCGGCGCCGGCCTCGCTTCCCCCTAGCCACCTGGCCTTTTTTGTTGCCTCGTTCCATGTCTATAGCGTCTATTTGTCGTCCTCCCATCTGCCTCATAATGCTGATGTTGCTTATAGCACTTCTCCAATAATCTTGGAAGCTTCGCGGTACGTCTGGAGCAACTTCTCGCACTTTTCGCGCTCCTCCTTGACCCCGTCGTCCTCGTACAGCAGCTCTTCGAACATGGATTCTTTGTAGAGCTCGCTGACCAGCCGGTTCTGTACCACGTCTTTGCAGTGGTTGACCAGTAGGTGCATGATGGCCTTGGGCACCTGGTCGGCGATGGACTCGCGCACAATATTGAAGTATGATGAGATGAGAGCTCGGATGAGCTCCGTCTCCATAGCCTCTCGCTCCGTCAGCGCTGGATCTCCGCCGGTACCCTGTCGCGTTGCAAAGCAATAGGTTAGTCATCTTTCTCCATCCTCCCAAGCCACCGCCGCATGCTTTGTTCGCGTGCGAAGATGTAGGGAAAACACGGCACTTACAAAAGGTTGAGCAAAAGAGTCGCCCCCGCCTGGCTTCAGGGCAAACTCTTCATTATCGCGGAAAGTCTGTATGGGCGACCGCAGGCCCATGTCATCGTTCCTCCTGACCCCCGGGCCGAAGGACGAGCTGGAAGGTGAGGGAGCGTGTCGGCTTCCCTGGCTGCCGCCGGTAGGCAGACCACCAGGCCCGTCTTTGCCGAAAAAGTATCCGAGGAAGGAGTCCTTGGCACCGCCTGCACCCTGTGCGTTAAACCGCGCTGGAGATGCTGAGCGCGCCGTGCCGTTGAGGCTCGACGGTAACAGTGCGGTGCCGTTTTCTCGAACCGCGGGTGATAAGCTACGGGCCCCGGACTTTGCAGCTTGCTTCCGGAGTATCGCGGCCGTCGTCTTCTCACCCGCAGCGGCAGCGGCACCAATGACCGAGGCGTTATCGTCGTCGTCGGCAGGTCCGTCGACGCCGTTGCCAAGCTCCTTCATCCGGCGCTTCTCCCGCCTCTCCCGCTCCTCTTGTATCAACTTCATCCGCTCCCGCTCCTGCCTGTCATTCACCACGTTGCTCATGGCAGCGGTGGCGCCGAGGAAGTTGGGATGGTTCGTGTTGATGTAGGCGCGCTGGATCGAGATCAGCGACTCGACGTAGGTCGAGGCCGGGCCGAGGCGTTCCCTCAACAGATCCGAGACCACCTCGATAAGTTTGGTCTGCAGTCTGGGGAAGCGCGTGAGTTCCGTTGATCCGCACGTGTGGCAGATCTTGATCAGCTCCTCATACACCAGCTCGACGCAGCGCTGACTGGGGATCTCGAGGAGTTTGATCTGGGGCTTGACGAGTAGGTCAAAGGCCAGCTCGGGAACGAAAAGACTCGGCCTGGGTCCGGTTGAGTTTCTTATCGCAGTGCGGATGTCCAAGGCGGTGAGGTTTGAGGTGGGGTCTATGGACTCGAGGGAGCTTCCAAAGACGGAATTGAAGATGTAGTATATCCTGGCGCCGCCGCAGAGCTCCTTGGTAGAGATCTCGGTTGAAGTGCCGTCGATGGACGAGATGAAGGACGTGGCGAAGCGGGTCATCTGCTGCAGAATCAGCGATCCGCGGTGCTCCTTGCCGTGGAAGTGCATGTCCCCATAGCTCGCCAGCTCCTGTTGTGTCTGGCCCATGAGAGTGTTCAGCCTCGCCTTGATATCAGGGAGGCGGTCTCGGATATGGGACATCAGGGTCGAGTTGAGGATTTTAGCCAGGTACTGGGTGCCGCATCGCGTCGCAATATTCCTGTAGGCGGGGTGGTGTCTGAAGAATTCGGCCTCGGCCTGGAGCGCATCCTGCATGGGCTTGTTCCCCTGAATGTCCTGCTGGGACCGGTTGACAACGCCGATCCAGCCCAGCTTCAGGGGGTAGACGCGCCCGGAGAGGATGTCCAAGGCGTTGGTGCCATGGTCCATAAGATCCACTTTGGTCAGGACGCCGATAGTTCTCCGGCCCAGTCCGTCGACATGGCGGGCGAGCTTCAGGGCCTCGGAGTTCACAATATCAACGTTGGCGGGGGAGACGGCGAGGATGATGCTGTTGGGCTTGGCGATATACTCGGAAATAAGGGTCCTCGTTTGCTTCTCGATGTCTGTGGGCTGATCACCAATGGGAACCTGCAAGCAGAAAAAGGCACGCACGTCAGTCTCACAGCATCTGCATTTGACTCCCCCCGAGCCATCTCCTCCTTCAAGACGGAGCCGCAAGGCAATGGGGAGAAGCCCTCACCTTTGTCAGTCCCGGAAGATCGACCAGGGTGAGGTTCAGGACGTGGGGGGAGTAGATTTTGAGGTTGATGGGCTGGCGGTTGATGCCCTTGTTGGTGCCAGCTATCCTCGACGTCTCGTTCTCGATCTCGCGCTTGACATCGCCAAAGTCGTTGAACCGACGGTTGGGGATGTGGTGGAACTCGGCCCATTCCGAGCGGCGGGCGGCGTCGGGGTGGTGGTAGCCTGTGTCGGCTTCCTCGGGGCCGTCGTCCTCGACGTTGATGAGCTGCAGGATCAGTGGCCGTCGGGTGACGATGCCGCTGCCGCGGGGTAAAAAGTCACGACCGACGATGTTCTCGAGCACCGACGACTTTCCGGCCGATTGCGAACCGACAACGACCTGCGGGACGGGAGGAAACGAACACGGTTAGAGACGTAAAGCTTTTTTGCGAGTGTTTTTTTCCCCCCTTGCAAAAACTAGCGCCGGGCGGGGTTCTGTTCTCTCGCCACGGTACAGACGGGGGAGGACGGGCGGAGCCGAGACAACATACAATCTGGGGCAGATCGAGCGAGTCGTTTCCGATGGTGTTGAACACCAGGTCCTGGAGCTTGTTGACAGTCGACAACAAGTCATCTCCCAGAGCGGCCATGGTGGGCTAGGTACCGAGCTCGGTGCGAGGGCTAGAGGTTGCTTCTAGGCTCGGGATTTGAATCGATTCGTACGTGCTGGGGCAAAAGGGAGCAGTGCCTTTTGCCAGCGTAAGTCGAGCAGAGGGTGAAAGGTTGTGCGTTGGGGGCTCGACTTGTCGGCGCCGGAGGGAAGGTCCGCACAAGCTCGGGCGGCGACGGCGGCGTATCGTCAAGGGCAAAAAATTGCAGGGGAAGGTGAGGAGAAAAAAATAGGACTGGAAAGCGACAGGGGCACCACCAAATTTGAGCAAGGCAGGAACAACCGCCCAGACCTCAGTTCATGCTTCTTGGGCCACAGCAGCGCAAGCAGCCAAAATACGACCAGGACTCGGCGTCACAGCAGAGGGTGGCGCATGAAATAAGACGAACGCTTTTGTCTCTGGACTTGCCGAGAGTGGATTGTCATCGCGTCCTCCCTTTGGGATGCAAAATGAAGAATTATGCGCGATTGGGCTGTTGCTGCCTCAGGCGTTAAAAATCGAGACGCAGCAGGAGCTTCGCGCTTGCGTCTTGAGACCTGAACCACAGGTCCCATGCGGCTTTTCTTTCTTTTTCCTTTTCCTATTTTTATTTTATCCCTTCTCTAGTCCAGATTCTTTTCCTTTCCGTATCCTTATTCTGTTCCCATTCCTCCTCTTATTTTATTCCTCTTCCTATTTCCCATGGCTGCATGTGTTCTTGCAAAGGGCTACCTACATAGTATCCCAGTGCACTAACAATTCTAATTCGTAGAACCTAGGTATAGAGCGCACATACCCGATCGTAGCGCATGCCCGCCCAGTGATGTGACCTCACCCTTGTAGGCTCCACCACAAAACGGCCTGGTGTTGGAACCCAGCACGTATTCGATGATTTAGTGGACAAGCATCTCCAGCGGCACCTAACGAGGTAGATGCCCAACATCAGACCACTCAGCCTCGGGCCACTCTCACTAGACATGGTGCTTCTGCCTTGGATTGGTGGTAGGCGTGGATACGTGGGAGAAAAGGGTGAAACAGAAAGCACCTAGGTCCTGCAATCGCTCGAGGTATTTTCACTATTAGGCTTGTGATTGGCACCCACGTGGCACCATCAAAAACTGACCAACCGCCTTGCTCGCCCTGGATTGCCCGCTGGCAGCCACCCACTCTCCATTCAGGGGCTCCAGGCGTGTTGAGACGACAGTCAAGGGGAGCCGCACTCAATCCCTGACAGGTAACAAACAGCGCATCCAGTACTACCTAGGCGACTGCGTGGAACACCCTCCCGCCGACTGCAGATATGAGCGCATTTGGTGGTCCCGGCGGTGGCCAGTTCACGCAAAAGCCAACACCGTGAGTGCCTAGCATCATGGAGGGAGTGAGGATTTCGCAGTGCTCATTAACGTCAAACTAGCCCGCAACGAGGCAGCTTTCCCTTGGACCACGATGGTAAGTCTGCTTTTTGATCGACTCCCTCAAGACTTGTTCCTAGAAATATGGCCTGCATTGCTCACCTAGCATGGCTGCTCTAGGCGAGTGCAAACATGTGATGGAAACATATCTCAGCTGCATGAAAAGGGTTAAGGGAGTCAACGACAATCAGTGCCGCGATATTGCCAAGTCCTACCTGGCATGTCGTATGGATCGGTAAGATATAGCGAATCCCTCCGTAAAGGGATGAGAAGGGGGTTAAGGGAAACTGACTGTGCTCCCTTGCGGCTCTGGCACTTTGGGGTGGGTGTTGAAGGAATCTCATGGCCCGTGACGACTTCAAGAATTTGGGCTTCAAGGACGAATCAAAACCAGAGAAAAAGCCGACAGGAGACGAGGGCAAGAAGGGCGAGCTGAGATGGTAGCGGCGTCTAGGCCAGCAAGCCTTCCTAAGAACCTGACGAGGGGATAGCTCGCAGTTTATCACAGTCGTCTATACATGCTATCGATACCAGCCATGTGACACTTGTACCCCCGTGTCGTGATCTCAAAGCTTAGAGTGTACCTGCCATACCTAGTAGTATTTTCGGAAAGTGACCCGGACGACATGACTCCACGAGAGGCCTGTTGCCAATAAAATCGTGCCTAGGTAGGGGCTGGTTTATAGTAGGTGAGGAGAGCATGCGGTTCTACGAAGTGGTGCCTGTGCCTAGTCCGAAGAAACAATTGATGGCGGCCTGTACAACCAAAAGCTTCATCACAGCACGGCTCCCGACTGCATGCTGAGAAAGGAAGGCGCCAAGGCAGAAACGCTTTGTAGTAGGCACAACCCGTGAACCCGTCGCGAGCCCCACTCCTCACCGCAAAGATTAACCCGACAACCATTTGGTGCTGGGCGTTTTTTTTTCTCTCTTTCCATGAGCTCACCGCATTCAGCCTAGACGACAACCTAACTTTGAAAACATCACACAGCAGACACTGGGCGCCGAGCCTCTAATACCATCCTTGATAGATACCCTCTTCCCGGGCATCTCTGGGCCGAGACGACTTCCTAGACACTCCGCCTTTTGTTCTGGTAAGTTCTCGTTGATGCCCGTCCCTTCAGGTGGAGGCGGAGATTACTTGGGCAGGCGGGCAGGTACCTGGGGTACTTGGGACTTGGCCGACGAATCCTACCCCTCTACCCCCCAGCCCAGTCCCACGCCGGCCGCGCTGCAACCGCGCGCGCTTGTGCCTGCCACCTACCTCTCACTTCCCTGCGCCGCCCGACCTGCCCACAAACTACCTACCGTCTACCTATCTCCGCCACAGCCTTCCTCGTCGATTCGCTGACCTTTCCCCTTCAGCGAAGAAAGCAACGTCGCGATCCGTGCCGCTCGTCGCACGCACAAGCAACAGCCGCCCACCGTCATCGCATCTCCGGCGTCCGACCGACACCAGGCAAAAAAGAAAAAGAAAGACAAGAGAAAATGTCGGACAACGAGAATGGAGGGAGTCCGCCCCCCGGCGGCGAGCCGGCCGCACCCCCAGCCGCCGAGCACCTCAACATCAAGGTGACGGACAACAACAACGAGGTCTTCTTCAAGATCAAGAGGAGCACCAAGCTCGAGAAGCTCATGAACGCCTTCTGCGAGCGGCAAGGAAAGACGATGAACTCGGTGCGCTTCCTGTTCGACGGCCAGCGCGTGCAACCGACGGACACGCCCGATTCGGTACGTGGCTCCCTACCTTTGCGAATTCTTCTGTCCCGTTTTGTATTCTCCGCTCTGCCATGGCCCTCGTCGTTTCCCCCACTCGGCCTGGTCGAGTCGCATGTCTCTCTATTCATGCTTCTCAAAGTTCTCAAGCGATCACATGCGGCACATGGTTCAAGGAATATTTACTAACGGCCGGGGTTTCTTAACACAGCTCGAAATGGCAGATGGCGATACCCTCGAGGTGCACCAGGAGCAGGTCGGAGGGTCATTCTAAAGATGCATATCCTGCGGGCGCTCTCATGTGGTCGCAGCCCTGGGACTCTTTCCGGGTCCGGTCGGTGCAAGGGCAAGCATCACTCTGCGCGGGGCAAGGGAAGGCTGTCGGGAGCCGCCATCCACGAACAGGTCGTGGCCCAGGATGGAGGCGTCAAAGGGCATTCGGAGGCGGTTCTGGATCGCTTTGGAGGAGTCAGTCCAAAAACAGGCGCCGTTGGCTTTCTTTCTTTTGTGGTTTCAGTTGGGAGCAAACTGGCGGCGCATTTAAACGGAAAGGTTCTGCTTGGTCAGGTCGTCGACACAGTCCATTTGGTCAATTTCTTCTTTTTTTTTTTTCTCCTTCTTAGTTGGCTGCTCCCCCTTCCGTCTCCTTGTTCTTCCTGGCCACTGATAACTTTCAGTCTGTTTTTTCTTCATGGCGGCTATTTCCCCCCCGTCATTTCGGGGCACCATGAGGCTGTCTGTGCAATGGGTGTGCAAGAGGAAGCATACACCAGCCCGCGAGACCGGCGGGCTGTGTGATGACAGCGGTCGTGCTAGATCCAGACGCATCATCCCGAACCTTTTCGGTTCGCGGCTTCTCGCCTGACCTCTCCACCTCTCATTTGCAGACACGCACGATTCGCGGAAATAATTTGAGCGTCATGCCTCCCAACCTTTGCTTCCGTGGTGGCGTGACGAGGCTGACGGGTCGATACGTTGAGGGTCGTCATGGAGGGCGTATGCTTACTCATTCAAGCGTCACACAGTCAAGATACCGAGGTGCAGTCTCGTATCAATTCTCTCTATTAAATGCGTTTTTGTAAACAAGCAGCAGCAGGCTGAGGTTTGCCGCCTCCAGGCAACCCAAATGCAAAAAAAGAGCACCAAAAACAAGAAGGTCTCTAGAAAACCTAGAGGAATCACGTGAAATGCAACCAGATGCAAACAAAGTGAACGCTGTTGTTGTTTGTCGTCATTGTCGTTCGTGGTCGGGAAAGGCATCAAGGAGTGGAAAATAGGGAGGGGGGTCCAAGAAAAAAAAGTGGGAGTGGAAGAAGAGAAACCGCGGCACAGAGGGGCTGGACGTAGCAAGACATCTTCATGCCAGCCCGAATGTCGGTGCCGATCAAGCCTTGAGCTCGCGAGCCCGGCAGGGCGTGCAGAGAATCTCGATGAGGCCGTCGGCGGCCTCGCGAGGGAAGACCTGGCCGTCGTCGAAGCCGCCGCCGCACGTGGCGCAGCGGAAGCACTCGTCGTGCCACTCAGCGCCGAGGGCGCGCACGTACTGGCCGATGACGGCGCCCTTGCAGCGGCGGCACTTTGGGGCGCGGCGCTCCGTCTGCTTGGCCTGGCAGCCGGCGCACCAGGCGTAGCCGTCCTTCTCGATGTGGGTGGCGCCGTGCTGGAAGGGGTCGCCGCACTCGGCGCAGAAGAAGTGGCCAATGTGCCAGTGCCCCCCGAGCGCCACAATGTGCTCGCCGATAATTGGGGTGGTGCAGTGCTTGCACCGCGGCGCGAACTGCTCGTGCCAGTCGAGATGGCAGAAGAAGCGCAGCCGCTCGTCGCCGTCCTCGGCCATGGTCTGGCCGGGGGCCTCGTCGAGCAGCTCGCCCGCCGCCCGCCTCCGGATGCGGTTCAGTCGAGCGTCCCTGGCCGGCTCCGGCTCGGGGCTGATCTCGAGCGCCTCCAGGGACGTGCCGCAGGTGTAGCACGAGAAGCAATGCGGGTGGAACCTCTCGTTGGAGCCCCTCAGGGCCACGAAGCGCCCTTCGATCGGCAGTCTGCATTCGTGGCAGCGCGCGGTGGCGCGGCTTCCTACAGGAGCTGGCGCTGGGGACCAGTGGCCTCGCGAGCGAGCCATGGCTTGTCGCACTTGACCAACAGGCCCCCTCACCGGGGTGGGGAGCGGTCGGGCCGACGGGGTTGCGGTAGAGGGTGGCTCGTCCGGCGTGACGATGACTGGCACGCTGGGGCCATCACTCGGGTCATTGGGTGTCACGATGACAGGTATTGAGGCCGAGGGGCCCGAGACAGATATTGAGGGCGCTGAGACGGAGATAGAGGGCGCCGATACAGATATGGAAGGCGCAGAGACCGATATCGACGGAGACGAGACCGAGAAAGAGGGAACCGAAGCGGAGGAGGCTGACACCGAGGGCACCGGCGGAGAAGGTGTGGCCGCCGAGGGCACGAATCTAGGATGCCTAGATGGAGATGGAGACTCAGAAACGGTGACGCCGGGGACGGAGGATGACGGGCGAGCGCCAGAGTCATTCATCTGAAGTGGTGGGGTCGGGAGCTCACGGCGCGGTGTTGGCGCCGGTGGCGCCGGGAGATCAGCCGCCACAGCTGGGACAGCAGAGACGGCCGGGCTTTGCTGTTGTGGTGCCGCTTGCTCTCCTTGGGGTTTGCTGGCCTCGCGGTTGCGGAAGAAGGGGCTGCGCATTCTGGGGTCTGGCTTCTCATCAGTCGCCGCCTTGTCGGGGGCCTTCCAATTTGCGTCAAAGCTTACGATGGGCCGTCCGGGCGTGTTACTGACGAAGGACGGGGTCGGCAGTTTCTGGCTGCGGTCCTTGAGCTTCATGCTTGTGGCTTCTCGTATGTCGTCTCCCCTGACCTCAACGCCGTTCTTCCTAGGCACTTCCTCCTTGGGAGCCGGCGGAGTGGTGTTGTCGGAGCTGGAACCCGTGTTTGTGGTGTACTGAGGGTTGCGGGATTGGGACGGCGGATTCCTGTGTATCTCGATCCTCGAGAGGAGTCTGGATACGGCGGATTGCGGCGTTTGCTCAGGTGCTTGCTGGGTCGGCTCGGGGGTCTTTGATTTGGCGGGAGCCTCGGGAATGAACGAGACGCGGTTGAGTGGATTCTTAGGCTTGTTCTGCAGAGGCTCGCTGCCGTCTGTCTCCGAGGCCGCTGCCGCTGCCTTCTTGGCGGGCGTCGAGCCCTCGGGCTCTTCCCATATCTGATCCCCAGAAAATGGACGCTCGACTTCGCCGCTGATATTCCTCTTAAGGCTAGTTCGGCGGCGGCTCGAGGGCGGCTTGATTGCCATAGGCCTAGGGCCTGCAGCAAGCCCGCGGTAGCCCTTGGACCGATCCAAGTCCATCGAGCTCTCCCGTGACCTGTCGAGGCTTGAGCGACCGCGCTTGCCGGCGCTGACAACCGTGGTGTTGCTTGCGGCCACGGGTGGTGACGCACGCCCGTGGGCAGAGCCAGCACTGGAGGTAGAGCTTCCCGAGACAGACCGCGAGCCCATGTTCCTACCAAGGCCGGTCGGTTCGATGTCGGCGCCATAGAGTCCGGCGCTTGCAGTTCTTGCATATGCGTAGCTGTTCTTGCGCATATGGGGCTTGTAGCGGTATGGCGCGCCAGGCTCGGGCGGTTTGACCCCGTTCTCGTGCTTCCACACGAGCTCGGCCGCCTCTGTCAGGGCGGCCTCGTGCAGGCGCTTCTCGTCCTCGTCCATCTCTTTATCCTTGCCCTTGTCGTCCTCGTTCTGCTCCTGCAGACTCATGTCGTCCATAGCCTGTTTGAGCGAGAAGGCCTCTTCCTTCTCCATCCACCTCTGGCCGCGCTCAATGTACGTCGCACTCGGAACAACCACGGAAGGCTTCAAAGGCGGGCTGGTCGGCTTCTCGGGGTAGTAGTCTCGGCCCCTGGTGCTTATGCTCATGCCAGAGTATCGGGAGGAGATGCTGCCGGCAAGGGATGGCCTGCCGACCGAGTATGGTGCTGGGGATCGGCTTTTTGGTACGGGTGACTGGCTCTGCGGTACTGGAGATTGGCTTTTTGGCGGGCGAATAACTGACGAGGTCTCCGAGGGGGATACGGCACCACCAAGAGAAGACCGGTTGCTGGTCATGGAGGGCCGACCAGAGTCGCGGCGCCCAAGGTTTGGCTGTGGTCTGGCGCCGCCGGGGCGGCTTATGCGGTTATTCCTGAGATCGGCCAGGTATGAAGCTACGGGGCGGAAGGCTGTCAGATCCATGTCCGCGTTGCTCGTCGTGGCGCACAAGGAAGCAGGTCCGGCGGCACTCACCGAACTGATCGTTTGACATGTAGCTGGGCGACGGAGGCGTGACCTTCCGCGTCGACGCCCGCTCCTTGGACTTTCCGCGTGAGAGCATGGCGGGAGATGTCACGACACTCGATATAGCGGATCGCAGCTCTGCGTGGGCGGTTGCCAGGTGAGCGAGGCAGGTGAAGGGGAACAGATGCGTATATTAGGTGCTGGATGTGTAAGGATATTTGCAGCAGGGGCAAGAGAGGGCAGAAGTCAATGACGGCTTGAGGGAAACGCAGGGCGGCTAGAGTTTAAATGGAGGTAGGTCATGGACGACGTAGTGGTGAGGCCGGTGTTTACGGCGAGTGAGACAAGGCGGCACCCAAGATGGCAATCTGTTGAACACCCATGCCGCGGTTGCTGGGCAGAAGCTGGGGCAGCAGTGGGCGGCAGGTGACGCAGAGGTAGCAACAGCAGAGACAGGACAAGGACAGGTGGGCATGCCGCACGCACGGCGAACGGCGGCGTGCGGTCAATGAACAATCAAACAGCCCCGGGCTGGTGGAGGGTTAGGCGATATGCAGGCCCTTGACCAGGATCGGCCTTGTTTACGCGGATATTAAGTTGCCCAGGAGACAGCGCAGCACCCCCTGCCGCCAGCTCGGCTGCCAACCCCACCCCGCTAGACCTCTTACCCACTAGCGGCTTGAGTCGCCGCGAATCCGCTTCTGGCAAGCCCTGCCGCTCCGCCTCTCTGAGCCAACCTACCCTCTCCACGACCTATGCCGGCTCGAGCGTGCATGTGCAGCTATTTCGGATCCAGGCTAACGGTCTCGGTAGAGCGTGCACTCTGATCTAGCGCCAGGGACGCTGGCCGGGGTCGGTGGCCGGGGGTGGTGAAGCCTCCGACTTGCAATGCGTCAATTCCCCGTGGGAGCTTCCATTCATCGATGCGTGGAGCAATGAATACATGATACAAAATGGTTATAAAGCTCGAGCGCAACTTCTGGTCACAAGGGGTTGTGCTATCGAATCAACTCATTACTCCATTGGCCGGCCAGGATGGGAGAGGGTATGCAAGCAAAACATAAACAACAACGTTTGTTTATTCTGTCTGAGCTTAACTGTTCCAGGCTTTTCTGCTAAGACAACAGGGTGCTCAACCCTTGTCCACGGGCAAAGAGGTCGCCTTCACAGTCGCGTGAAATGATGTGACTGGTCGTGGCTCGATGGTCCTCTGGCTGGATCGTTCGCGTAAACCCCACAGACAGCGGCGGCTGTCGTCTGGGTTATCCCATATGGATGTCATGCCATAGCCATCTGCAAAGAACAGTCAGGGAAGAAAAGCAAAACAAGCCATGGGACGCAGCGCCGCTCGACGCAACCACTCCCGAGAACCTTGGTTACAGCCGCCTTTTTCTCGGGATGATGCAAACGGATGGATACATGTGCGCCAGTGCGGGATGTGCGCTCTCTGGGCTAGCTTCTAGTCTCTGTGCCTAGATTTTTTGCATGCCCCATGCACACGCACTGTACGTGCATGGCTCTTGCAGCTCGGAATTGTTCCGTCGTATTCCCGGCTCCGAACATCGCAACGCTGATCGACAAGGTCTTGGTTGATTCTCCTCTCGCTCTCCCGCCCCACAAACAGCACCCCCCATGGTAAGTCCAGAGCTGCAGAGCTGCAGAGCTGCGCGATGGGAAAGCGATGAGAGACTGTGGACTGGGTGGCCGGTCAGCAGGAGCTGCATCGCGCCCTCGCGCCCATGCCTCGCCATCACGAGGAGGACACAAGAGGCGGAGAGGCACAGACATGAGAGCAGCACCCCAAACCTGGGGCCGAGACTCCAACCCCCGGCCGCTGCCCCTGGGCATGCTACATGCTACCTATGGGCGGGGCGGCTCTCTTTTTTGCCAGTCTGCGGTCTGTCAACAGAAGGGCGTCGTTTTACGTACCGATTTCTTACCTGCTTCGACGAGATACCCGCAGAAATTCGGCACGATCCCGCCATCTGACTGAGGCCCAAAGTGAATGTTGCTTATTCACTCACTGCCTTCCATTTGTCACTATATCTGCCCGTAAACTGTTCCTGTGCCCCCTTTTTTTTTTNTTTTTTT